AAAAAAAAGAACTAGGTGAATTTCATAGATACTACGACCAATTGAGGTTCTAAACCTTAATTCAAAAATATATTAACATTTAATTAAACATTAATTAGTCATTCCGCTTGCATCAACTTCTAAGCAGAAATAAAAAATAAAAAACAAAAAAAAGAACTAGGTGAATTTCATAGATACTAGGACCAATTGAGGTTTTAAACCTTAATTCAAAAATATATTAACGTTTAATTAAACATTAATTAGTTCAAGCGGCACTACTTGTAAGAACCATGCACCAACAAATTGCAGATATATAAGGTTTTGAACAGCAAAAACCTCTTAACCTCACTACATTTTCATGATTCAATGAGGTCAAAAGTTTTAACCCCTTCAAAAACTCAGCTTCATCAGATTTGCAGCTTGTCTTGGCAATGCATTTTATAGCAACAAAAGAACCATCTCTGAGGAACCCTTTGTAGATGCCTGAGAAGTTGCTTTTCCCCAATAAATTGGATGGTATTGATAAGTTAGCTTGCCTCCAAAATTATGATCCGCCTCCTCCATATGAAATCTTGAACTACATATGGTCAAACAGGAGGGCGCAATAGAAAATAAAAACAATCTATATACAATGTGAACTCATTAAGCAATACATATATATATATATATATGTATATCTTCTGCACTTGATAAGCAATTAAGTGGATCAAAACATTACGAGTCATGATCGGGCAAATCCAATTCTGCTTATGAGTCAAATGGTTTGGAGTTAAAATGGATCACAAATCAAAAAGACTAGTAACTTGTTTTAAGTGGGCACCTTATGGTTGAGTCAGTACTTATGGATCACAAATAAAAAACAAGAGCTAGGTGGATTTCATAGATACTACTACCAATTGAGGTTCTAAACCTTAATTCAAAAATATATTAACGTTTAATTAAACATTAATTAGTTCAAGCGGCACTACCTGTAAGAACCATGCACCAACAAATTGCAGATATATAAAAACAAAGTCAAAAAAATTAGAGAGGAGGAATTAAGCAAAGCTAACTGATTTAACGGTGTCTATATAAGCTTTTGAAGCCATGTCCGCACACCAAACAAGCTTCATGTCTTCTAGCTTAAAGAGGGACTAAATTGAGACTTTTTTTTTTTTTCTTTTGAGAAAGAGGGACTAAATTGAGACTTAATTACAAAGAGAAATTAAGAAAGGTATGGTGAGAAAATCAGAATGTTGGCTTTTAAATAGGTGGGAGAAGGGGATAATGCTTTTGCATTTTTTTCCAAAAGGCATTGAATTTTGTTTGTACGGATCTTGATAATGAAATGACACGGACCTTTCATAGAAGAGTTTTGTGCTAAGCAGCATCATTATCTACAATTTGATTAATTAATTAATAGGTGGTGCTATAACAACAAGTTTTTTTCATATAATTTTTACATGTTATTAAATAAGTA